ATAAAATATCAAGATTATACTTTTAGCAAAGGCTTGCTCTATTTCAAGAAGTAAATTTATGTACTCAACAATGTTAAATTCCAGATGCGCATACTTTAGGAAGAACATGACATCCCAATATCTAGACATTTGTGACGAGAGAAGACTCTATAATGGATCTCAAGGACATGATTTTGGGTAGGTTTGAATCATGATGTTTGAGCCTTTGTATGCTCTTGCGAGTCATGTCAATATAAAAAAGTATACAATGCAGCGTCTCTTAGACTATTGCAGCCAGTTTTGCTATCCATGGCACATTGGAAGCAAGTGACTATGGATCTCATTATGTATTTGCCATAGATGCCTCATAATCATACCATGATTGCCATCTTTGTGGATCGACTCTTGAAGCAACTTCACTTGACTGTGGTGTGCTTAAATATTGATGCTCCAATACTTATACAAGTCTTCTTTGATATTGTCTTTTATCACCATAGATTACCTCATGTCATCATTTCACATTGAGATCCATGCTTCATGAGAATTTTTTGACAAGCCTTATTTAAGCTATTAAGCACACAACTTGTCATATCTACAACCTTCCATCCTTAAATAGATGGACAAATAGAGTGTGTAAATTAGACCTTGGAAGATATGTTGTGGATATTTGTGGTGGTTCATCATAATGATTGGGATAAATACTTGATATCCTTGTAATTTACTTATAATGATAGTATTCAAGCAAATACCAATCATTCACCATTTTTCCTTAATACTAGTTAACATCTAATTACGCTAGCAACTTTTCATTGTTCTATCAACACCAACAATCTGACAAAGGAAGAATTCATAAAATAGCTTACAACGGTCTTACAAGACGCTCATTACTACCTTTTTATTGCACAAAATTGATAGAATCAGTATGGGAATAACCATTGGCAATACAAGATCTTCCAAAAAGGTGATCAAGTATTACTCTCTAATGCCAACTTGCCACTTGCTACATCAACCCAAATCTATAAACTAGCACTTTGGTGGCTTGGACCTTTCTACATTATTATAATAATATCTGATGTTTTATACCACCTCGAGATTCAGCCACATATTTGAATCCATCTAGACTTCCATATTTTGTAACTGAAGGAATTTCATATAGAGCCAAAACACTTTTTATATTGACACCAACTACTACCACCACCAGTTGTAACTAATGACCAATAAGAATATAAAGTGGGCAATGTTTTGAGCATCGCTACCTTTATCATGGCAGTGGATGTCCACAACTTTAGTACAAAGTTCTTTGAAAAGGTTATCCCATTCACAATGCAATGTAGAAACCTGCATAAAACCTCATCCATTTCCAAGAGACAATTCGGAGATATCATTAAGAGTGAAACGAAGACGTTTTGCATTAGTGAAGGGAGATTAACTATAATATAGTATAGATAAGATAATTATATAGATAATTAAAACCATGGAAGTTTTTAGAATTGAAGTTAGGTTAATAGATGAAGTAAGATCCATTATAGAGCATTTTAGAAAGGATTTAGGGCGGTTATTTACATGGAACCCACCAAAAAATCTTCTAAAAAAGGAATTTAAGATGGTTATCTAGGTAGAGTCCACCACCTAAGAACATTCTAGAAAGTCTAAGGTAGTAGAACAAGGTATAAATAGGACTGACTAGGGCCTTTTGGAGCATCTGGTCAAGTATGGCTTCGAATCCTTTCTCTTAGTAAAGTTTAATTTTTGCATCTTTTTATTTAGATTTATTCTATTATGTTTTTGTTTGCTTAATTTTGTCTTTCATGTCCTATTTTATTTAGTTCTGTTCAATTTTGTTCTAGTCTTTTTTGTCCTATTTTGCAATGAGGTCTTATATTGTTGTGCATTGGAAAGATCTTGGATTTTTTAGATAGTCTGGTCATGTTTCAATATATCTTAAAGTTCCATATATGTATTTATTTTTTTTGACTTTTGGATTCCTTCTTATATTGATCTTTAAACAACAAAAATTAATCAATTTTCCAATAGAATATTTAAAATCATTGTCAAGAAGGGGAGCCTCCTTTGAAGATCACAAGGTCCTTGATTGCAAGTGGATTGTAAGAAGCACAATGTTGCCCAAATGAAGTCAAATATAAAAAGATAGCCAAATTTTTAGTACAAAATTTAGACTAATTTCTTTCTTGTGCCAAGATGTATCCAATCCCTAACTCAAATCGTAAACCCAAACCTCATCTTATTGAAATATTTATAATTTACTTATTACTAATTCAATGTAAGCAAAATTTGACTTTTTTAGCTTAATTCAAGTTACAAAATTTAAATTTTTAAAGTCTATAAATAAAATCTTGAAAAAATGAGAGTCAAATCAAGGAGGAAAATAAATTGGCTGCTCGTTGCAATCGCTTCCTCAAAATCCCTGTCTACAAATTAGCTTAGATCTCTCTTATTACAGCTCTTCTTTTCATATGCTAAGGCTGGTTGGAAAGCTCAAAATGAATTCTAGTTTCATCCAAATTATCAAAATAAAAAGAAAAAAATCTAATAAATGGCATAGAAAGTTCCAAATCAGTCTTGAATTCCACTGCCCAAAAACTCCAATAAACCCTCTCTAATAAATTTATATGAATCTCCTTCATTATAGCTCCTCTTCTTGTGTGAAATAGCTTGCTAAAAAGCTAACAATAAGATCCAACTTCCTTTATACTTTCATAACAAAAAGATAAAAATTCAGAAAATGCAATAGGAAACCTCAAACCATTCTTGAATCTTGCTACCTGAAAACTCCAATGACTCTCCTTTCACAAATTTGCATGATTCTCCCTTCTCATAGCTCCATTTCTTGCATACTATGGCTTGTTAGAAAACTAACAATATGATCTAATTTCTATTAAAATTTCAAAATAAGAAGAAGAAAATATATGAAATGGCATAGAAATCCCTAATCAGTCTTGAATCTTGCCGCCCGAAAACTCCAACGACCTCCCTTTCACAAATTTGCATAGTTCTCCCTCATCATAGTTCCATTTCTTGCGTACTATAGTTTATTAGAAAGCTAACAACACGATCTAACTTCCTAAAAAATTTTAGAATAAAAAATAAAAATTCTATAAGTGGCCTTCAAAATCCCAAACTAAGCTTGAATCTCGCCCTTTTCAAAAAAAAATCCAATGACCCTCCTTTCCTCTCTTTTTGATTCCAAGCCTCCCCCCCTCCTCCAAAAACATAATAAAAAATAATAAAAATAAAAACCCCTGATGCCAAAAATCCCTATCTCTAACATCCTTCCAATATCCATCTTGAACCACTATAGAGTCGAATATCTATCCTAAAAGACAATATCCATCAAGTTTGAATTATCCATTTAAGACAACAATTTCATATTCAAATTCTATTCAAATTTGTAAATGTATCAGCATTATATTCCTCCCTCCTCCTACAAGTAAAATTAATTATCCTCTAAATATCTTTGATGCATTTAAATTAAGTGCATCACGACACCATTATTGGATTTATTATCATATATAATATTAAGTAATACACTATTTGGCTTTAAATCTGAATATGTAATTTGCATGTCATCCAAATAACAAATCTCTTTTGCAATTTGATAAGTAATATCAATAAGAAAGTAATATGGCATTGATCTTTTTACCTCCAATATGTCACTAAAACTTCTTTGTATTAATTCTATCACCAAATATACTTTTTACCTTGAATTTTTCATTATTGAGGACTTTTTATTATTAATTTTATTACTTTTTGAAGCATAATAATATTTGATGAAGTTTAGATGGCTTATGCTAGCTAAAATACCCACTTCTTTCATGAATATATCATTCCAATCGATATCCATTACTTTTGTTGTAGATGAAAGTCCAACCCACTTTGGTTTATGAACTTTTCCAAAAGCCCTCCCTTGTATTTCTTTTACAAGCTCTAAACTTTTGATATCACTTGATACTTCAAAAAAATCCAACTTTCCATCTATTGCATACCATAAGTCCTTCAATCTTACTTATAGATAATTTATCAAGCCATGATCTTTAAATTGCACATCTTTACTTATATATTCCAATCTTTTGAAAAGTTCTTTACTATCTTATTTAACTTCTTCACTAGTAGAAACATCAAACAATACTAATGTGATGTCATCCATCTTTTTTGAGCAATCTTTTAAAAATATTTCACCCCAATACCCTCCACAAATTTGTTACAAAATTCCACAATAATTACTAATCCCAATGCACAACAAGCAAATAAAAACCTCCATATTATTGAAATATACTTCATGAAAAACTTCACATGGCTAGTCATTATAAATATTTGAATAGTACGCATAATTTGTCTTCAATCACATGAATAAAACCTTATTACACATTTCACAACATTTCAATAAATTTTGTTACCTTATAAGAACCTATTATCATTTTTCATTATATGTATAATAAGTAATCACACATACAAATAAAATAATACATAAAACATTCATTTCAAGTGTCTTATCATCTTTACAAAATCATTATTATTGAAAATCATGCCTTAAATAATAAGTAGCCTTTGATTCTTAAAAATACTTGTTTACTTTCTCAAGTAACTACAGATTCTTAAGATATTGTTTGATTTCCACTAAACCTTCCCACACAGACAATGTAAATGTTAGCCAAATTAATACATATGTTAATTCAACAACATATTCCAAATAGACAAATTTGATTTACATCTTTAATAAACATTAAACTAGAATACTTTTTCATGACACCATCCATCTGCCAATAATTATCTTATAACACCAAGCACTAAAATATGAATGTGATATGCCATGAAATCACTTGATTAAAATTGTCATCTCTTCTTATGAAGTTTAAGAGATTTTTCTTCTTTTTTTCTTTTCTTAATCACTTATTATTTGAGTGGCACAATCAAAGTAATCAATCAACAAATGGCTACATGCTTGCTGTGAATTAAATTTCTAAAAGAAAAAGAAAGAGGCAATGATGCTTCTACAATGTAAATAGCAATAGGAGTTCCATCAAATAAATTGAATGAGTGTCTTGTCATGAGTGTCTTATCAACTTGAACCAAGTAGATGACATAAGGAATCCCAACGCCAAGGTAAATTGATATATGAATAGTATGACAAGATTATGACTTCCCTCAGCAAGAAACATTTTCAATGCATATTACATTTAAGTTTATGACCTTCCCTTGCACATCTCTGGTGATGAAAAATACATGCAACTCAAGAAGATTGCAATGAGGGTTTAATTTACTTTCTACACAGTTGAAATGTGTTGTCATATCTTACATCTAGATGAACACCTGCTCATTCATGATTGATGATAATGTAGATGTGATCCACGACTAAGGTTGATTGTAACTTGCATTGGCAGAGCTCCAGGTTAGATCTTTTGTTGAGAACATTGAACACATTAAGTTTTTCAAAATATACGACACACAGAGATTGCAATTGAGAGAAAAAGCTCAATCCTCAAAACGGACTAAGAATCTTTGTAGACAAACAAGTTTGAAAATGTTCTTACCATATTCCAGGTTGAAGAACTCTTCCATCCTTTAAATCACTCAGATCCGCTCCTATCCCGCATTTCGAATGCACACAAGGCAAGCCAGGATACAATTGTGATATGGTGTTTAATGTGCCGTTATTATCTTGCCAATCTTCATCCCTGCAGCCAGAATTTCAAAAATAGCAAACAAACAACCAAATACTGAGTACATGTCAATGCAAATAATGTCATACAGTCGCTAGCAAAAAATTTGGATTTCATCTAGATTGACATCATAAGTTATAGTATCTACAAAACGCAATCTTCTTAAAAACCTAAAACCTTTTGATTGTTTACGCGCTTGCATAGGATACAGCTAGCATGAGCATATGATCAAGCCTATTATCTGGCTTTCGAGCATCACCTCGAGCACTGTATTCGAAATACAGAAAGCCATCGTAACAATCTCGGAACCAAAAAAAGAGAAAAACCACAAGATTACCTACTATCCGCGGCTCCTAGCTCTCATGTTGCTTGCATGTGGCACAGCGATATCACGGCATGTATGTAAGCGCAGATTCGAGCAATTCGAAGCGACGAGACCGCACACGGCTGCAAGGGTTTCGCGGCGAGGGCGGAGGGGAGTGACAGGGGAGGAGGGCGAGGATGTGTGATGTGTGGATGAGTTGTCATGCAATCCGGTCTTGCAAGATCATCCATGTTTTCTTGCAATCAGTTTCAGTATCTGGACCCACTCGGTAACTTCTCACACAGCTTCTTAATCTCACCTTCAATTGTGTGCTCACATCTGTGCATCTTTTTTTTGTGTTTTTCCACAGTATTAGCTGCGTTGGTTAGACAGCATTCTAGAATTTGCTTGGTGACTTTCATGTATCATCTTCAACGCCTAGATTGCCTTTTTCAATGAAGTTAGTGAAACCGTGCTTGGTGTTTAGATTTGAGTTTCAGATATATGGATAGTCTTGTCGTTTTTCCCTGACATTTGGATTTCAGCCATGGTTTTGATGATTGTGGTGAGGAACATTTTAGAGGTTCATGCTCATGAAAGGGTCTTGGCTTGTCTTGTGTGAAGAGCTGCTGTCGATTGAAATTCAGCTTCAATTTGGACTTTGTTCTTATTTGTGTCTGTTTATTTCTTGCGAAAGGTGTCCAGTTGTATCGTTCCGGGTAGTCTACTACGCGGAGCACAATCCTGTGGTGACAATTCTATCCTATCCCATCTTGCAGTGGTCAGAAATTGAAGGTCTTTGTTCTTTCTCTGCGGTTCTCACCTGTCACCATCTGCTTGGATGTTATATTTCTTCGTTGCAGGATTTCAGTTTTAACGACAGCTATGGCAGAGGCCCACTCCCAGCAATCAATGGCTAGCGAAGTGCATCCGTTGGCAGCTTCAGGCTTCAATGCTGACTAGAGAATTTATGAATCGGCTCGACCAAGCTGCCACGTGGATTGCAAGGTTACGTGGTGCCTATGAGAAACACAAAGCTGGAAGTCCTTATTACAGACTAGGGCTGTGGCGGAGACCCTTTGTAGAGCCAGAGAAGGCGAAGGTGGTGTCAACAATGTTCCATTTACCATGTTTATATATATATATATATATATAGTTCTACAGTTTAGAGTATTACCAATGATGGTTTTGAGATACATGTATGTATGTATGTATGTATGTATGTATGTATGTGTATTTTATTTTAAATTATTTAAATTATTTAATTAATAAATAAGGAGAATATCAAATCTTACATTATTACTATTAAATATTTAACAAAAAAACAATAAAAATATAAATATAATTGGTTTATTTTAAAAAAGCATAATTTTTTGTGTTAAAGAAAAACCTATAAAATATTCATAAAATAATTATCAATTTAAATTTTTTTAAAAAAATAAAAAAATAAAAAAAAACATTATTATTTTTACTGCATATGAAACAAACAAATTTAGAGCCTATTTATCAAAATTATCTAACAATAACTTATTATTATAATAAGCCTAGGAAAAAAATACTAAGTCCTATAAATAACAATAAAAAAAAAACTATTGTTCAGTTAAGTCATTGTAAATAAAATATATATTTTTTCTTTTATTTGTTTTACTTGTCTGTGTTTTTTGATTATTTATTATTATTCATTGTTACCTTCAAAACATTTTTTTTGTTTAATACTTATGTTTTAAATCATTTAATTTATGTCTCTATATATAATTTATTTTTTAATTATTTAATACCATTTAAATCTACTCAATTTAATTAAAAATACAAAAAATTATATTATTTTCATTCCTTAAATTTTTATCTATTTATTTTAATAGGTAAATTTTTAAATTTTGATTATTATTAGTATTATTATTATATTAAAAGTATATCTAAAATTGTCTTGTTTATTTAATGATCTTGGTTCTAAACAAACATATTATGGATATAAGAATATATGGTTGTATGGTTGAACTAAAACATGAAATATTCTAAAAATGTTATTTTTTTATTAATCAATTTGATATTACAAAATCAAACTAAAAAGTATTTATAATATAACATGCTTTACAAAGTGTCAATTTATAGAAGTTATTAATTATAATATAGTGTTATTTTTTTATCAAATAACACTAATGAATCAAATCTATTATTTACCATTGACATTCAATTTTTTTGGTAAAGAGAAATGTTTTCTAAACATGATAAGAATTCATGTATATATATGGATTGTACACTTGTAGACTCGGACCATTTTTTATTTGTTTTTAGTCTAATTTCAAGAGTTTCTAGTTTCCTAGTATTTGCCAATAGCCATTCTAGTTTCTTCTTGAATATACATATTTATTTTTTTTCTTTTTTTCATCTTTCATTGAGAAATCTTGTACTTGGTTATTTACATTCTTTAAGGTCTTGTTCATAACAAGAAGAGAAAAAAATAGCTAGAATCTTTATCAAATACAACATCTTTACTATGAAAAAAATACTTTAAAAAATAATATTTTAAAATTTATAGTATATATGCTAAACTTCTATTAAAGCATTGGATTCTGAAATTCTCTATTAGATATTGTAAAATTCTATTAAATTAAATAATTTTATATTTTATATTTTGGTGGTCTTACTTATTTTTAAATTTTTACAATAGATCTTTGTATAGTAGAATTAAATCAATTTCTTTGTATAAATCAAGATACCAATAATAGTTTTGAATCTTATTGTGATGTTTTGATAAAGTGATTAAGTGTTTTTTCACAAGAAAAATAAAAAAAAGAAGACTTAATTGGTTATTATAGCAATTTAGAACTTTTGTTATGACATGTTGTATGTATTTAGATAACAAAAAGAATATAATTGATTGGTTGTCAATACAAAAGTTTAAATAAATGTCAAAGCTAGTATTTTAAAAGCTCAAAGAATAAGTAAGAATGATATATTAGAGCCATTATAGTGAATGAATCTTGAAAAGTAAAATCTCAAAGTCATAAAAATCTAAAATCTTGGTGTATAATTTCTAAGCTTTTCTATATAATATAAACATAGAGTACATAGCAATTTTTCTAAGCACAAAATTATTATTCACTTTCATTTCTTACCTTATACTTTAAGAAACATTATTTTGAAAAATTATCAAATATTCTACAATATTAAACATGAAGATTTAAAAGTTTGAATTATACATTCAATTTTTGATACAAATAGTGATATTAAAGATGATGAGAAAATTTTTAAAAGTAAAGAAATAGATAACAAAAATATAATTGGCAAAGAAGTAAACATGTATACACAAGAGTTGAATATGAAATCTTGTGTAGAAATGATAACAAAAAAATCATAGAAAATTTCTCAAAAATTAAAGATAAAAGATGTTGTAATAGTATAATATAATATTTAACTACAACAAAAATAGATAAAGACATTAATGAATTTTTGTTTAGAAATACACCTAATTCTATCCATCTAAATATAATTTTTGAATCTTAGATACAAAATCCAAATACTTCTATTAAAAAAAGAAAAGATTGCATAGAAGTATATATGCAAAAGAAATATAAAGTTTCATCTTAAAATGGAGAAGAGTGAAAATAGTTTATAATATTAAATTATAATAAATGAAACTTCTTATACTAAGTATCTTTTTCAATTTATAAATTATATATTTTTTATTTTTTATTTGTAATACAGAAAACAATATATTTTTAAAACTTAAATATATAATAATTTGAACATTATACTTTTAAAAAAATTAATTTTTCATGTTAATTTTTAAAAAATAAATTTATAATATATATAATTTTATAAATAAATTTATATGAATAAAATAATAATATTAAAAACATAGTTTAAAATAGATAAAGAAATATTTTTATGGTAATATATAAATAAATATATAAATATATATATATATATATATATATATATATATTATTTTAACATAAAATAAAAAACTAAATGGCAATGCTATTTTTTAGATATAATATAAATTAGTTATTTTTTGTTCCTTCTTAGCTATGTACGAAATATATATATAAAATATTTATAATAAAAACAAGAAAATTTCATTTCATATTTAAGGACAATAAATTATAATTTAAGTTCTTCAATTGAAACAATTTTATTTCAATGTTCTAACATTGTTGTTGTTTTGTTTTGTAATTTTTATGTTTTAAGCTATTATAAATAATATATTTATTTATTTATTTCTTAATTTTTATAATTTTATAATCATGTATTTCAAAAGCTCTTTGTATGACTGAATTGTATATTATACACATTTCAACTTGAAATCTTTATAAGAGACACAAATAAGGTGAAAATAATAAAACAAATATAAAATAAATAAGTAAATAATATCATAGCAAAGAAGTTTGTAGTAATTATAATTTTTTGTCTTCTAAGTTAGAAAACTAACATGCATAATTCTAGTAAAAAAAAGAACATCAATTATTGTTTTATAATTATTTTTTTATATTCGTATTTTTGTTTAATTATTTGCATAACCATAAACAACAAATCCATTTTTATAAAAGTTAAAGTTTATGCAACATATAAGGTATTTTTTCCATCACTAAAGGTTGCAAATTATTGCAAATAATTTTTTTTAATTACTTTCTAATATCAAAGATAAATAGATATATATATATATATATATATATATATATATATATGTGATATTTTTATTAATTAATATCATTTAGTGCAAAAAAAGTATTAATTATTAGAGGTTATTAATTATCAAAGATTGGAGAAAGAAGTTGACTAACACCCTAAGGAACTATGAGTTTTATCTCCCAATTAGTAACTTCAATCTTAGTCAAACTTTGTGTATTTGCTATTTGCTTGAAGATTAAGATGTATAAATTTTTTTAGTCATGATCAATAATTTGATTAATAGTTATTGAGGTTTTACAACTACTATAGAGATTTGGTTAAGTTTTGATTAGAATTGGTTTATGATTTGATTTAAATTAGTTTAAAATTTGATTAATATTTAATTTAGAATTTAATATTCGATTAAAATTTTATTAAATTATGATGAAGGTTGAATTATAGTTTAATTTAGGATTTTATTAGGATTTAGTTAGGATCCATTTATGATTTTTATAAAATTTGATTAAGATTTGATTAAAAATTAATCAAGATTTGATTAGAATTTTTTTAGAATTTAATTAGGATTTGACTAGCATTTAATTAGAATTTGATTAAAATTTGATTAAAATTTAATTAAAATATATTAAAAATTATTTAAGATTTATTTTGGATTTCTTATATTATATTAAGAATTTTTTAAGATTAATTTGGAATTGATTTGAGTGTGATAGGATATATCTTGGATTTTTCAAACTCCAATTTTTGAAATCTCAATCAACTTAAGTTTCAATAATCTTAAAATTAACTATTTAATTAAGCACAAACTTATAACACTTATATAACACAACTGTGATCATAAACTCAAAAAATTTCATTTGTAGATCTACTACAAATCTCACAAAATGCTCCAAAGAATAAATCCTTTTTAATTCTCAAAAACTAGTCTTATCCTAAAACAATCTTGACATTTTAAAGCTCTTATAAAGTGATAAAAAAATCAAACCTTTTAAAATCAATGCCCAAAGAACCTCTCTCTTGTATGCTCCTAAATGCCACTCTTTCATCAACCAAATAATCCCAAAATTGCCATTGGTGCACAATTTTTTGACTTGGAGTCTAATTTTGACCTTGGTCTATAAGTGGTTCTTTTTGGATATCAATTCATGGTTTTTTAAGCTGATTTTTCCTACAAACTACTCTTAACACTCTCCTAAAGATGCCTATATTATTTATTTTTTTAATCTACTTTGCTTTTTCTTATTTATGGCTATACAAATTAAGCAAAAGTTTTTTTTGTTTTTACAAAAATATAACATAAACATTAAATGTTTTTACTGATTACTTATCTTTTACATGAATTTTTCTACTATACTTTTCAATTAGAGTCTTCTAAAATAGAACCCATAATTTTATCTTTCACTATATAGTTGTGTTACAATACAACAATGGAATATACAAGACATTTGGTAGTTTGTGGAATAATAGTTATTTAGGTGGAAATCCTACAATTAATGTTGTTGTCAATTTACAGTCATTCTTAGTTGATGTCTTCACCAATATTAATTTGTTCATTAATTTTCCATCAAGTCCTTTCTCAATTGTAAGTGGCATTTTTTTAAATTATCTTTAGTACGTACAATAACTTAATTGAATATTGGATGTTCCATTAAGGTTGTGTTTGTGCATCATGCATTAATCCAAATTTAATAGTATCTAATTTTGGAGCCATAATTAGATTATTGCTTCTTCTATGACTTCAATGCCACTTAAGCTACCTATTCATAGGAAGTCTTTTCTGTAGTAGTAGTAGTAGTAGTATGTGGCATTGTACAAATTGTACATAAGTTGTGTTAAAGTAGGCTTTAGAGCAATTCTAATCTTAACTCCTAATGTAGCTCTAATTTACCATTAATTTCTTATATTTAATAATAAAAAACTATCATAACCTTTAATACTATTTTTATTTATTTTATTTTTAAATTCAAGACTAAGAGGCATGTATAAATCTCTAGTTTTGTAAAAAACTAACTTATTATCAAATTTCATTATGCTTAATTTGTATATTGGCCTAATTAGGCACAAAATATACTTGAGTAAAAAAACTTTATATTGCTTAATTAGAAGATTATATTGACCTTTATTTTTTACATAAAATTTTTAAGTTATAAAAATGTATATATGGATTTAAAAAAGCTTTATGTATGTTGTGTAAATGATGTATCTACTATCTTATTAAAAATGTTTTTTCTTGTAATGAAGTAGATTCATATATATATATATATATATATATATATATATTAAAGAAGAGCTAGTGCATTAAAAGTTTGTCATATTAGCATTATATGATAACAATTCTATTATTATTATTAATAACATGCAATTCTTAAATTCTACTAAAAAGCTTTTAATAAGTGGCTTTAAAATGACTAATAAAGGATCCATTAAAAGTACAAGTGGTTGTTTAGGCATGATTTTCAAATGCAATGCAATAAAATAAAATATATTACTTTATCACAAATTAAATATATAATTTTAAAAATACAAGATTTAAAATATATGATTGTAAATGTGTTTGAATCTTTTTTGAAGTTGAATTAGAATTAACTTAAGAAATGAAGTTAATTGATCCTAAAGATATAAAAACAATGAACAATGTTTTATACTCAATGGCCATTGGATGCTTAATGCATGATATTACTCATACTAAGTTTGATATTATTCTTTTTGTTGTTTGCTAAGTTACAAAGTGACAAAGTTCTATTAATTTTCAATATGAAGTTCAAGGCTTAAGTGATAGTGATTGGGTAAGTGATGAAAACTTTCAAAGATCTACTTTAGATTATGTATTTATATTAGCCAATGGAACTATTTCTTGGCAAAGTCGGCCGCAACCTATTATAGAATTATCTTCTATTATAGCAAAATATATAATTAAATCTTTAGTTTAAAAAGAAGCTATTTAGATTAAACAATTAATGAAGGATATAGGCTACTATCAATTAGATGCTTTATCTTTCTAATATATTCATCAATTTTTAATCTTTTTAATTAAAAATATGCTTCATTGTGATCAATCAAAACATATTGATATAAAGTATTATTATCTTTAAAAAAAGATTGAACATAAAGATATTTTTATTCTATTTTGTCTAATTGAAGATATGGTAGTTGATGATGTGTCAACAACTTTGTCCAAATTGAAACATTTAAAATATTTAGACTTAATGAGCATAATAGATGAAATTAGGATAGAATCTAAATATAGTATAATAATAATAGAATAGAATCTTTACTTACATGACAATTAAAATCATGCCATATTTTAGAACTTGAAACTTATTTAATAGAAGATTAATAAAAAAAATTAAAACTTTAATATTATTTAATTAATTTTTTTAAGGATTGTTGACTTATATTTTTTTGCAAGTTTTCACATTAAAGTAAAACTAAACTAAATTGTACTGTGATGAAAAAACAAGTATTAATAAAAATTCTAAAATAGTGTTATTTTCACTTGTGCAGTAATTCTGATATTTTTTAAAAAAATTACAAAACAAGTTTTTTTCTATTGAAGTCATATGGTTCTTTTTTTGAATTTCCTTGTTATAACTCTGTTATTCATTATGAAAGAGTTTTTCAACAATCAAAATATTACCCACTTCAGGGTGAAGGACAAGTAGAATCTGCCCCCTGCAAGCCACCCAGAAACCCTAATCCACTTGGAACGTTGTCCGCCCTCCACCCACCGAAACCCTGAGAACCCCTTCCTTTCTTTGCAAGGGCGGGCGAGTTTCAAGGCCATGGCGGGATTCCTTCAATCGCACCGATCCATGGATCCATCATCGGTCACGCGCTCGATGTCACCTCGTGAAACGATTTTCATCGAGATAGAGCCTCTTGGAAAATAGAAAAAGCTAAAGCAAATTCCCTGGCGACGCTAGTACCTTATCCAAGGTCAATTCGCCATGACCCCTCACGGTTGGCTGGAATTCGCTATTGCCATATTTGCAATTTCGTGGGACCGCGGTGTCTTTCTACCTGACTGCATGGTCGTGCGATTGTCAACCAATCCTGGAGAGTTTTTTTTGTTTTTTTCTTCTTTTGATGGTTGTGAAGAGTATTAAGAGTGTGAGGAGATTCACGGCGTAATTTGATTTCAGAGATTGGTAGTCTGCTATGGCGTGCATTGCAGCGTTGTCGAGCTCTGTGGCTGCCGCTGCGGCGACTAGCAACGTTGCCTCGTCTGCTACGAGGTCGCCTTTGGGTGTGTCAGCCTCGTTGTCGCTTAGGAAGAGCCTGATCCATAGCAACAAGGTGGTGTTGAGCTCCCGAAGAGCAGGTGCGTTATGTTGCTTCAGAGGATGATGCTCTAGGGTTTGGAATGGGTGTGAATGGTGTGTCTGTGTTGAGTATTGTGATTACGGATCTGGAATTTCGTTGAGTTCACGGTTAGCTGTAGTAGAGGTCTATTTTGGTGAGTGGTGAATAACAATGAATGACTGCAATTTATTGCTTGATGTTCACCGTCTATGGTTGTGTCCCTACTCGCAGCACTCGTTTGAATATTTTTCGTCCCTCTGCGCTGGTAATTGCTCTAGTTTTATTTATTTATTTATTTTTGTTTAGAACCAATGTGCTCTGCCGTAATTTGATGCATGCGTAGTCTGAGTGCGACTTGATGATAGGGTTACTTCTCATGCTACGGTGACGAAGCCTAGGGCATGCCTTCACATTGTCTTAAACGCATGATATATGCTTTTGATGACAACTATGCAGTTTAATTACATTGTTTTAGTTTGCAGCGATCTGTATCTATTTTTTAATTAGAAACTTTCAATTTGATATTAGATTCTGGAAAACGACCTTTTCTCAGAAAGTTGCTACTACACTTGTTCTTGTGGCATCTGACGAGATTGTTGAGATTATATCGTGTACTTTTAATTTGATTATCTGCTGTTGACACTTCGTGTCCCTCTTCAGTAGTGGCATCGCGTTAGTTGATCGTCCGGTTGTATTGATCTGAAACCGCACGCAACATGCCAGTTACTTAATAGTTGAGCTGGATAGATCAATGCAGTTAAGGCTATGTCTGAAGATTTAACAACTCCACACGTGACCACTCAGCCTGTGATAATATTTACCAGTCTTTACATGAACTATGTCGCAGAGTCTGCGGCCAGAAAAAATCTGTCGATTCGTGCTACCTCAGACAGCTCCGATAGCTCTGCTCAAATTCAAGAATTCGTCGAAGACCTGAAGGTCAAGGTTAGTATCAATGTGTACTGTGTTGCTACCATTGGAACCTCCGCTAGTTTCCAAAACTTTTTCAGCACCGAGAGTCGGATCATTCATGTAATGGCTGACCTGAATATTATCGTCGTAACTGGATTAACTTTGGTATATTGGATCGACAGTGGGACCAGACCGAGAACAAGACTACCGTCGCAATCTACGCTGGAGGTGCTCTTGTGACTCTATGGCTATCATCTATCATCGTCGGAGCCATTAACTCCGTTCCCTTGTTGCCCAAGGTCATGGAGCTTATCGGTCTAGGATACACGGGATGGTTCGTTTACCGCTACTTGCTCTTCAAGTCCAGCCGAAAGGAGCTTGTTGACGACATCGAGGAGTTAAAGGGAAAGATCACCGGTGCTGCCAATGAAGTTGCTGGGAAATAAGCCAGCTTACTGACTGTAGTATTCGATTGTGCTAATGTGACTAAGACTTTGAACGAATTTTTGGTGTATAATTACAGTGTGGATTAACGTGTTGGCTGCAGTACAGTTTGAGTTCTGCCAATTATCTTTTAAGCGGACCCCTGTTTCTGTTTATGAGGTTCAGAGTGTTGGATTTTCGAATACAGTTTGTGGTACATTGAGTCGAATAGATGAACGTTGTGAGGGACGGCTGTTTTGTTGGAACGCAGTAGAGTCTGATGTTTTGGGCTCGTTGATGCCCTTGGTCTATGAACATTAAGATGTGTTCAGTATTGTAGAAAATCTCACCTCTGTGACTCTTTACGGGAGTCACAGTTATGGGTATGTGTTAAGGTGTTACATATGAATCTCTCGAGTAAAGTTCTGAATATGTAGCTCTTTTTCAGACGGAGCGGTCGCCGTCGCGAAATTCTGACACATGGTCACCTTTTCCAATTTGGTACCTGCGTAAAATCCATTGGATGTTGACTTTGTGAGCGCACAACAACTCGATGTTGCTCCCTTTAATAGTTTTCCATAATCGTTCAAACAAGGCAGAATTTTAAGATCACTTGCAGTAGTTAATCAACGAAGTCATTGGCATTTAATCCCAGGGATTTTGCTTCTGTAGAATATGGTCGAAAAGGAATTGTGTGAGGCTTTTGATCATATAAGTTGAATCTTCGGTTCGTAATAGTACATCATTTGGAAAACTTTCCATGAACTTTCAAGCCCAGAGCTCTCAGTATGTCATCTTTGAAGTCTTCGGGAAGAGAAATGTAATGACTCATCAACTGATGTATTATTGCAACTGTGATATTATCAAGCACCGCATGCAGTTATTTTGTGTTATAACTCAATAAGTACTAATGATGACTGTCGAGAGGACAGTTATTGATTGTGAAGACTGTACAAAACATAGTGGACGCCTTGGTCTCGTATCTTTATTCTGCTCGATCACTGCCGCACTGTGAGCCAATCTCAGACGTTGAATGGGAAATAACGTGCTCCCTTCAATACTATCAACCTACTCACACTGATTAATTACGGCTAGGGTTACTGTGCAGACTAAATTAGGCCACCCTGGATTGGTATCTACTGTGAAGTAATCAAGGGTGCACCTTAAGTATCTCCCTGAGCTTTATACACTCGTTAATCCATACACGACGATTTCCACCAGTAATACCATGAAAACTGCACCATCGAAACCTTAGTTTGGGAATGAACTAACTATCATGCAGTACCAGCTCCACTGGTTTCCTTCACAAACGATATACATTGAATCAAAAAGAAGTGTAACAATTGCAAGACATGAACTGATTCAGTAAGTTTGTTCCACGTGAAATGCTTTTTAGTACACTGTGTTTGAAATATAATCAAGTACAAGGCATCGTTCCTGACTTACTCTCATATTTTAGATAGACAAGCTTTTCAAGTCGAGCATTTCCTGTGACGTGAGCGAGTATATGGTCCACGTCGGGATTATCCTTGGTGATGGGTTTAGCTATAGCTAATTGTACATTATATAGCGGAAGCATTATCAACATCATGAGTAGTTCCGGTGGAACTCCGCAGCAATTTTTTTTTTTTTGGCTAGATTCAGTACCCAGGTCACAAGCTACATTGAACCTTCTCAGTCAACTAAAACAGAGTCATTCAGTATTCCAAAATACTATGAACTCGGAGGCCATTCCGTCGAAAAATAGATTGGACGGCAGCAGTTATAGACAAGGAAAGGACCAAGCAAACATCTTTCAGGGCTTTCATGGCCTCCCTGTTATGGAAGGCACGACCTTGAACAAGAGCCGGTTCGTTTGCTTCTAAATCCCCCGTGGTCGGTTCCATATCCATTTTAACTACCGTCTGGTCTCCACCCACGTGCATCGTAATTTCCGCTCCATACCTGAAACCATGTCCCGTCAGTCGCTTTAAACGCCTCGTTATACTTCCAAAAATATCATATGTTCATATGAAATTTCCACGAACCTAACAGGCTGTAAGAAACCGTGAATGATACGCACAAGCTACTGAATTCCTGTATGAAGTACACGCCACAAGGCAGAAAATCAACCCGAAATACGAGGATTAAGATGCAGACTTTAGTGTTTTGATGTTGGTGCAGTTTTTGGAGGAACGCAGACCGCCCTGATGAGCTTCTCAAGTAATGGCCACACTCAGATGTTCCTTTCCGAAACCTCGATGGTCACTGTAGAAGTGTAATACAAGGATTTTGCGTAGTATACAACAAGGATGAAGAGCAACAAAAGGGAGCTCCCAGAGTAAGCTGAGTGATGAGTAATGTCTCTTTGCGCGCGAGAGAGAGAGAGGGCGAATGGGAAATCTAAGGATGATGACTTGTTGAACTGATCAGACCTTTGGCCTCTTCAAGAATTGGTTCTGTGCACAATTTGGTCTTCATTGATTACTGAAGCTGACAATTTAGGCAGTCCCAATATCATGTCTCAGAACAGTGCATTTCACTGCATTATGGTCGGAATTTGAAGTGCACATGAAGCGCAGTGAATTGAGCATTGACAATGCACGCTTCACCTGCTATAGCTTTTACAAATGAAGGTATATAACCCATAAATCCGGTTCGGTAACGCTCGTCTCTCCTACATTTGATGAATTCAGTTGTAATGTGATCCATCAGCGTGCTTGCGAACGAAGTCCAACTGTGTTCGAATTTCTTCGACCAAGCCCCCGATCACTCCTTGTCAACACTCGAGCACTATGTTCCTCTCGAGGTGCTCATTCCATCAGTGCACAATAACCTCCGAAGGTTACTTTAACGGCTCTAAACCTCTACTGTATGAATCTTCAAAGCTTGAGAGGTGGTAAACAGAATCATCAACACATTGGTGAAACACTTACTAATGTCAGGAAAACATCTTAACAGAAAAGTGTTATGATCTAAACTCTAAATTTAGCGACTTGCATTTAGATAATTTGGGGAAAACAAGAAAACATATATTTTAATAGATAAAAATGTGGTAAAAACATTAAAACAAAACCAATTTGAGTGAAATTATTGAAGATTACAGATCATGCTAGTAAAAACCGGTATCTTTAATTAGAAGAAGACTGCATAATAAATTTAGATACCGTAAGACGTTTGAAAAAATATGGGTTAGAAATCAAAAACTAGCTATTCAAACTATAAAGAACTACTTAGCATGAAATTATAACCTTCCAATCATAATACAACCAAACATCCACCAATTGCACACTAATTACTAAATAATCATTGTCTCATACAATAAAAGATGTGAGAGGTGGAAATTATGTTTAAAGGATAAAACAGTGAATGACAAAATGCCACATTGTTTTTATTGGAGAACAAATTATGTTTATTGGAGTGGAAAAAGATAAACCAAGATTTTGGAAGAACATCTAATGAAAGCATGAAGTTTTAGAGTCTACCTAAATTTTCTTTTTTTAGTATTAAAAAGAGACGAATTTATTATGACTAAAATAAAATAAAAGTTGCTGAAAAAAAAATTGAGTTTCAATTAAAAGAAATCTATTTCACTTTTGTAGAGGGACTAACAAGGGAGATCAACAACTCTTGGATTCTTTCTTTCACCATTAAATTACATAAATTTTCTCAAAGAAATCTCAATACGACTCTCTTCCTCACACGTCACAAATACAAAAAAATAAAAAAATAAAAAATCTATCAATCTGCAAAGGAATAAAATCCTTTTCTAATAATGAAATAAAATAAAATAACTGAACCTTTTGGGATACTCCTGAGATCAAGTGTGGGGCAGAGGTGAATAAACTCTGCAGCCCAAATAATGAGATATCCTGCAACAGATTTCAAGACACTACGGCAGATGGAACCCATCAAGTCTCCTATTTATTTTTATTTTTATTTCATTTTACAAGCCTAGTAGAGTTCTTGAACTAACTAGGTCATTAAGACTGCCTTCAGCTGCACTCACATCCAATGTCACAAATCCAGTTTTGAAACAGACTGAGTTGTTGCCAGTTATTGGAGCTGTTGCTCATAACTGAAAATGTTCACATTTTATTGTCTCTGAAACATGTTTAGTGTTATATTTGGAAGGATATAAAATTAAGAGTTAAAAAATGGTCATACTTAAGTCCTTTCATTGTTTTTGCATTACTTGTTTAGTTTTTTCACAAATAGATGTTATTGACTTAGATGAATATCAGTTGGAGTTTTTGGAAGATGTTTTTAAGGTGGGAAATGTCTTTGAGTTAAAGAATAACCGAAGTTCTTAAAAAATGTTTGCTTGTTCAATGGCTTGGAAGTTTTGATAGTCTTTTATGTAGACAATTCTGATGAAAAAAAATTTCAATGAAATGAATAAAGAGCATGAACTGGCCTTTTGATGGGTCAACTGTTTCTTTAATTTGATTGATTATTTTCAATTTTATATTATTAACCATGATATTAATTTTAGCATAAAGTAAAAATATTAAAGCAAAATTCTTAACTAAAATTTATATGAAGTTCATAGGAGATGCTTTTATAATAAGAGATTCAGTAAATATTGCACAAACTATTTTTTTTGTTATATATTTTTTACACAAAGATTGATTCAAAATAATACACAACTTTTCTATTAAAATAAAAAAATATTTCAATCATTTCAAGTTTGATAGTGATATAATTAACTATTTAAATTAGAATGTTATACATTTATTTAAGGGCACAAATATTTTGGTAGTTTTCTTTCCAAATGTTTGGTACCTCCTTCCAAACTTTCTAGTCTGTTTCCCTTGGAAATAGTATTATGATTTTTTTCTCTTAGTTGCTAAGTTCCTAGATTGAATGCCCACCCTCTTGGTAGAGAAGAGCCTTGGGGGATACCAAAAGATCCATGGAAGAGTACTGAAATATCTATGCTCTTTTTATTGTAACTTTATAAAAAAAAAGATAAATTTTAAGGATACTTAATAATATCATTTAAGAAAAAAATAATATTTAGGTAGATTTCAATTCATATGATAATAAAATAGATCATCATCTAAAATTATATGTAATTAAACTTACAATAATAAAAGTTATAAGTTTTATATAATTTGAACATATTTATGTTGTTATAATTAAAGCAAAATCTATCACATTTTTTCTTTGAACTAAATTTTATTTCAAAGAATATCATATTTTATTCATATAATAATTTCAATTGTGCAAGAATAGATAATTTATTATATTGATAGTTTATTTATGTAATTTTTTTCTTTTTTCTTCTAAAAATAACTTAAATGTATTATAAAAAATTACTATTATAGATTATTCTTGCACATAGAAAATTTATTACAATATCAAAAATCCTTAATAGAGAAAAATCTGATTTTTTTTAAGTTATATGAAAATGTAATCATTCATTTTTAAAATATTATTTTTATTACTTTAAAATATGCTACAAATTATAAACTTAATAGAATTATAATTTGATTAT